AATGCATTCTGGTAATTGTCTCTCAATGCTATAAAATAACCTGTTTTCAGTTGCTACCTATTTCCTCCCCACCTCATTTTTTTTTTTTTTAAAGGAAAAGGAAAGGTTGCCATGTGAAAGCGTCACCAGGCAGATTCAGACAATATGTCATTTTCGTAAGGTAGAAGACATCATCTTGGGCCAGGAATGGGTCATACTAAAGAGAGGCTGAACTTAAATTTTTCTTTGTGCTTTGTAAAGAGTCAAGACCACCTCATACAAAACCCAGATTGCTTGTCTTTGCTTTGGGGATAATTCATAGATCTTATCTCATAGCTACTCTTGACTGGTGAGAATTATTACAGTATTATGGTACAACAGCTTGCAAGAGGAATTTAAAAAATGATCTACATAATGGATTAATAATAAAGCAATGACTTTACCAGGTCAAAATAATCAATGTAAAAACAATCAAAAGTTCAAACTCCATGACTGAGGATTCACTGTACAACTATAAAAACACAAGACTGATGGTTCATTTAGTTCTGCTCCATGGCTGACCAGCCATCTCTCTGTAGTGAGATCCTACACTATTCCCAGCATTCCATCCAACAATATTTTCCCACAGTAAGAAAAAGTCAGAGTCTAATTATTATCATCAACAGATTAAGAATGTTACTATATTAACATGCCTTCTTGTTAAAGAGATTGCTTCACTGCTGAGAAATGATCGGCTGGTGATTTAAGATTACAGAGTTAGGCTAATATAATCTGTGTATTTGTATTGCTATCAGGGAAAAAATGGTCTGAAAACATTTTTTTTCCAGTTAAACATTTAACTAAAAATAAGAGATGCATTAAATAATCTGGGCAAGTCAGGAAAATGGTAAATTTTCTCCAAGGACACCAGCCCAGGTAGAAGTGAATGTCACTATTGAGGCTAAGCCACTAACTCTCTCTCTGACATTGGTCAAGTCAATTGATCTCTTCTAACTTCAGTCAACTTGGCTGTAACACAGATAAAAGCAGGACTTCATTAAAAATAAACACCCCCCCCCACAGATAATGCATCAGAATTGATATTTTTGGATAAGTAAATAGTGACCTCCTCCCCACAAAACTAGCCCCTCGCCACATTTCTGTGACTTACACCATTGATCCATCTTTAGCTCACTGACTCTCAAACTTCGATCACTGATTTAAATATGTATTGAAATTCTATCAGCCACAAATTAAGCAAGAGCTGCTGTTGTGCATATCCAAATATCAGCTTAACCGTTATACACTCCACTTCAGTTATCCAGTATCCATGCTGGAATTTAAGAGTCCATTTCCCATGTACAAATGTAGGGAGGGGATATTTAAGACATAAATTAGCATGAGAATGTAAGGCATAAGAAGCATAAGAATATAATGTTATTTCAATCATTTAAAGGTTGTTTACTCAGACTCAATTCAGACTGTTTAACTCTCTCCCATCACCCTTTTTTCTTAGTGGTTTCTTGCTGTTGCAAGATATAGGCTATTATTTGGCCAGTAAGGAAGGCTCAGTAACCACCCAGAAGCGGCACATTCACATAAAATTACAGCCATCCTCAAGGCAACAAACATTCCAGGGGGGCCAGAACGCAGTGCATTGCATTAACTACACTCAGCTTCAACCTCAGTTTCTTTCCATGCTAATATTACTCTGCTAACAGCACATTCAGTCAGGCTCTCATATATCAGCCAACCTATTCGTTTAATCTTCAGGGTGAGTTAAATTAAGGGGTTATTGACAAGTAGGATTTAGCATGGCTTAATCCTGGCCTACGGAAGTGTTTAAATGAAGCCAAAACAGAACTAGTTTCTTTACCATTGCTGTGTTCCTGCTTCTCCTGCTGAAAGCAAATGTTTTTGTCTATATGGGAAGAAAGGACTTTCTAAAGCTAGTCTAAGTGTTTCATCATGTGGAAGCTAAACCAATAACAAAGGATGCATGTAGAAAAGGAAGAATTCTCTACAAATCAATTCAGGGACAGTCAACTTTGGATGCATTGTAATGATATAAAGCAAGGCATTAATGCAAATTAAAATGAGATCTTCCACTTTCTAATTACAGTTATTCAGTCACTTTGTTCAGCAGCATTTTTCATGTCCCTTCCTTCTGTCCTGTATTTAATCAATACATTTAAACATCTGATCATTTTAGTGCCTTTTTTGGATTAGGCACTAAAAAACACTAATTTCTTTTTTACTTGGAATAGTTTGACACAACACTTAAAATTAAGAGTTTATTACAACTTTTCATTGTGCAAAATTTTGTTTGGTTTTACACTTTTATTTTCTGTTTTTCCATATTAGTGACTTTAACTAGCTCATTGTTCCATGTTCAACAATAAATTAATAGCTACTATTTTGGACAAGTTCAGTCCCATGCCCCCAATTTCAGCTTGGTGAAATACATCTTCAAACATTTGTATAGGATGAAGTTGGTATTGCCATGGTTTTTATAGAGAGATGCAGAAACACAAGTCGTTGAATTTATGAACCTTCTGAACAGAGGCAATCTGATACAGTTTTAACATGTACCAGCCATAAAGAGCTAACAGAGACAGTTTTAATCAGGCTCTACAAGTGAGGTTTCAGTACTCGAGTGATTTTTGGGGAAAAAATATTAGTCAGTGCAAGTATTTTATGAAAATCCTTTTCTTTGGTCAGTTTCTCTGTTGCTATTTAGAAAACCTCCCTGGACAGCAGTAATGTTATCAAGAATCATAAAACAAAACCAATATGAACAGAGTAAGTTACATTTTTCAAAATATATTAAATAGATTACTGACAATGGTACAGATAAACACAAAGACTGTTTTCTTAGATTGCAGAGAGCATGGCTTTGGGGACGGGGAGGCATCTTTCACCCTGGTTAGTGGGTTTAGTTCTGAGTCTAGTAGGGTGGGGTAAATTTTTCAAGCCCTGCCTACGGCAGTAGTGGACAATAAATAAAAACATGAATTTGAAATCGGATATGGCAGCAAGAAAGCCCAGGTTACTCTGGTTGGTATACAAAGCGGCATCATATCATGCAAAAAGGGAAGTACAGGACCCTTCATACAAATCTAGTGTGACTGATGGAGAGGTCAAATCCCTAAGCCTTTACCCAGTCTTTAGTTAAGACAACTCCCACTGGTAGCTTGATCAGTTTTTTTCTTTTTTTCTTTTCTTAAATTAGTACCCATGTTGCCTCTGTGTTTCAAATAAAGTGTTTCCAAAAATGATCCTTCAAGACAACTGCTGAGAACTGATTTGCAAATGTGTGGGATGTCTTCAATAATGAGACTCATCATTGATACACCAGGGCATTTTTATTTCCCTGTCCCCTTTTCCCAGGAAGTCGTTGAATGGTAAAGCTCTTATTAAGATAGATGATGATGTTTAGTGGTTTAAAATGTAATTGTTGAAAGCTTCTGCGTAACCCACCATCAAATGCTTAAAACTTCCATTAAATCATCTCCACTTGGCATTGAGCATTTTATGCATTCTGCACTTGTTCCTCCGGGAAAGGATTTATGTGTTCAGGCATTTAGTGAGCTACTGTGATTATTTAAATTGATTTTCACATTGAAATATTTATCATAGACTTATTCAGTTGTAATGCACATAACTGCATGTGCCAAGACACTCACTGATCTGAGACTACTCTAGATCTGCTGTATAGTCAGCCCACATACTACCTCTGTTTGGTACCATCCAAGTGAACAGATATTTATCACTGAATGTATTTTGTAAGTGACCAACACGGACGCTTCTATTTATTTTCCTCCTCCTTTAGGGATATAGTGAAGTGCTTCAAACAAATCCAAAAAACAGATGCATTCTGTTGCTATAAGCCATGTGAAGAGTCACTGGTAATTCACAGCATTCTAATCTTCCGTATCAGGCCTTTAACTCATGTCCTTTCTGAGTGCAGAGACTTCGAGATTTTGATGAAACTAAGTTATACTCTTTCTCAGAAAGGAATTTAGAGAGGGAAGATAATTTGTCAAAGAACTTTACTAACAAAAGGAAAGTTTCCAATTTAATTTCCCTTCAGAAGAAAAATGTCAAGAGAAGCACTTCCACTCCTCATTGGCTTGTAAAGTCATTAATGTTCAGCCACAGAAATAAAGAGGCAAGTCTGATCACTGCCTCCAAATGCTTAAAAACAGAGACACTTCACCACTGTCACCCAACAGTAGCATATTTAAAGGGATGTGCCTTTTTCTCCTTAGCACTTGGGGCAGAGTGGCCCAAGGATGCCCAGAATATTGGAAGCCTGATCAGTAAGTGCCAGTATTCTTCCTGGCTGGGTATAATATTTCATTTTGTTTAGACTTAAAACCGTTCTTCTTATTCCCCCTTTCCATGGATGTTGGAAATTTGGATGAATTTTATAATTCTACAGAGATGGCAAGATCACCAAGCCATTTCACAAAACTAGCTCTCTCCATTGCAAATTCAGAAATTGGTCATTTTGAAAATGAACTTTTTAAAGCTGTAAGACAATTACCTCTTTTTTAGCAATCCCTTTTCATCAAACACTGACATTTTCCAGACACTAAATGTTTAAAAGAAATACAAATCCTTTTCTCTTTAACTGGAAAGAGGCCAAAAACAAACAAAAAAACCCCACACAAACCAGGGCTTCCCAAAACATGTGTATGGCATCCATTTGCTAAGTAACAGACAGGGATATTTATTTTTTGGTGCCTAAAAATTAATATTCAGGGCCTGGACATTATTTAAGAAAGGCCATACTGAGTCAGACCAAAGGTCCATCAAGCTAAGTGTCCCGTCCTCTGACAGTGGCCAAAGCCATGTACCCCAGAGGGAATGAACAGAATAGGTAATCATCAAGTGATCCATCCGCTGCTGCCCACTCCCAGACTCTGGCAAACAGAGGCTAGGGGCACCATCACTGCCCATCTTGGTTAATAGCCACTGATGGACTTATCTTTCATGAATTTATTTAGAGTGAGTATATGTTATAGCTATAAACTTACAGAAGCCGTGCTCTTCACCACATGTCCTACAATCACAACAACTCTTCCTTTGAAGCTCTGGAGTGTGGCAGTAGCAGGGCACTGGACGAGCTCTCCTTCCGCAGTGAATGCTGAGCCAAATGGAATGTTGATGCTGCCTGAAATGTGGCCGCGATTAAAGCTGACGGGCAACACAGTTAAGGGAAACATGAAAAAAGAAACTGGATACACCCACACCTGCTGTAAAGCACATAGGTCAGTGGGGCTGGGGTCTCTAAGTGCTACCACAATATAAACAAACAAACCAGGAGTGAACCCAGCTCTCAGATTTGTATGTACGCACCACTCCCATTGAAGTCAATGTGACTTTCAATTTTAGCACAGAATTTGGATGGTACAGCTTTAACTCATAACTAAACAATGAAATTTTTTTGTATTTTTCTTTCTCTTCATTGCTAATGCCAATGATCTATGTAAGTGAAACAAACTATCTAATTTATAAGCAGCTCCCGCCTCCTCCCCAACGTCTGATGTGACACAGGCTAATTTGTTCTTACTGGATTAGTATATATCAAGAACCTCATTTATTGTTTACCCATTCTGAAAACAACAGCTGCCACCTCACAGGAAAACTAATAGCATGAAGATTTATTTGCTGTTTAAAAAGTGACAGATGGAATCATTTTGAATTCTGCAGTGGTCAATGAGTACTTAGTTTCACATGAGGAAGCAGAGATTTATGCTCAGGGACACGTCATTCTGTCTGTTTTATCAGCATGCAGCCTTGTAAAGGTTTAACTATGCTTAAACAGCCATGAAACTCTTCCGCGTAGAGCAACTACTTTGCCCTCACTACAGTAGTTAACCCTTTAGATATCAAGTACTATGAACTTTCCTCTAAAATCTTGAATACAGGGATATTCAGTCAAGCCGAGTAGCGTCTCACATTTCTGCATTGTTTTACGTTAGTTCTGCCATTCTGAAATTGCCCTCATTTAAACTTTAAGGTATGAAGTATGAACAAAATCTCAGCTAACTAAAAATGGAAGAACATTTCCCAAACTGAAATTGAACTCAAAACAAGGGCAGATTTGATTTAAATCACTAGTTAGGTAATTGAAGCAGATATTTATAAAGTCATTGGGAGGTGAACTATCTCCAATTCAACAGGTTAATCATCAATATTTGGAGGATTTTCTTGCCATGCTGTATTAGGAGGAGAACATCACCAGACAGACGTTTACATTGTTTTATTTAACGAAAACAACAATGTTAAATATTCTGGATTTTTTTCTTCAACAGCAAACATATAATATTTTAGCAAAACAAGCACATGTCCCTTGCTTCTCACATTTAGCTCCAGATTTCTTTTCCTTCTCTGGATCTATTCTGCTCCCAACAATCTTCTATTCATTGAACTTTCTGAAACTTTACACTTTTAGCGAGAGATAAAGGACTGACTCTGTGTACACAAATTTGCAGAAGGACAATAGAGTTGAGGTCTGTTATTTCTCACCTCTATATATTTATTTAAAAACATGTTTGCTGTTAACAAGCATGTTACCTCTGGAGACACAAATCCACAGTTTGAGAAATGCAAAACTAAGCATCTCTGATGGTATCTTCTAGACTGACCACTGAGTCCCACTGGGTAGATAGAAAGATCAACCTAAATAATCTATACAGAAGCCCATGGAACTACAAGATTGGGTCCCTAATCCATGAACTACTGGAAGTCATTTACAAAACTTTTCTTAAACATTATATGAATACATTGTGTCATACTAGAGAATTAGCATTTATAATCCCTATTCCATGATGAGATATCTTTGAGCTATAATGTATCTTAATTAAAACTATCTTTAGATAAAATGTTTTTTGAGGGAAAAACCTATCGAAAAAATCCAATTTAAATTAAAAAAATCTTTTTTTTTTTAAAAGTCATTGATTTTTATCCACCCTGCTCAAAACTGCAGTTTGAAAGAGCTTGTTTAATTTATTATTTGCTTATTTTTAAAATTTTCACGAGCATCTGCATCTCTTAGTTTCAACAGAAACTTAAGCACTACAAGAAGGACCAATGAAATGTAGGACTGTTCTGGGGTTAATACACTGAACTGGGAATCAGATGATTGGAGTTCTATTCTTGGCTCCACTACCGACTAAATGAGAAGCATTTACTTCGTATATTTCAGTTTTCACATCTTTAAAATTGGGATATTATTTGCCTATTTCACAGAGGTTTTATGAGTGTTATTTAATATTTTAAAGTTTTTATAGGTTTTCAGACAAAAGGTGCTAGACAAATTCTTATTTACAACCTTATTAAAATCAAGAAATTCTGTGCATCGTATGGGACACACATGAAAGGGTTAGTATGTAAAAGCCAACAACTCCTAGAAGTTGTTAGGTAAAATCTGGATGCACAAAAGGAGTTACATGCCTAAATCCCAGTTTTGGCACCACTATGATGCACAAAACCTCTGCTGAAGCTTGTAGGTGCTTACCCTCAGTTTTTGTAGTTCAAGTTCCCTAGCTACCTATGTTCCTGTCTCTGCTTCCTCTCTCTGGGTGTCCAGACACCTAAGTCCCAGAATGATTCACAAGTCAAGGGAAGACAGGTGTTCAGCCACCTAAGTTGCCTGAAATGGTAGGTACAATCTGAGCATGCCTGCCAGATCAGTCCTCTCAGGGGAGTTCATACAAAACAGCTGGGGAGAAAAAGGAGAACCTTCCACATAAAACTTTTAGCCCAGTCATTAGGGTACTCATCTGGGATGTGGGAGAAACCTGGTTCAAGTCCCCACTTCATCTGAGGGAGAGAAGGGATTTCATCTGGTATCGTCTACCTTTCAGGTGAATGAATGCCTTAACTATTGGGCTATGGGATATTTTGGTGCTAATGTAAACAGTGAGTGGGCGACATTACACAATACCATATATCAAGCTGCTCTCGCCACCTTGAGTAGAGCAAAACAACGCCATCAAGATCAGTTTGATGAGAATGAAGCAGTAATTCAACAGCTACTCACTAAAAAACATGAGATGTATAATCACATTTTTTATCCCATGTCCCTGTAGGCACAGTTTTAACATACAGGCATCTGTGTCATGATATCCAATCTTAGCTCAGAAACATGCAAGATCAATCATGGAATGCCAAGGCAGATGAAGTCTATGCTGATTGTCGGGAGCCCAAAGACTTCTATGCTGCCTCAAAAGATGCATATGTCCTACATACAGCACTACAGTCTCTTTGAAGAGTGCAGATGGCCTAACACTGGTGACTGACAAAGGAGAAATCCTTCAGAGGTGGTGACAGCATTTCAGTGATCTTTTGAACATGCTGTCCAACATCACGGACAAGGCACCAATAAAAGCAATGGATCAGCCACCTTGTAATGACAACATGGATGCAGCCCCATCCTTTGATTAAGTCAGCACTGCAATCAGTACCATGAAGAATTACAGAGCTTCCAGATCTGATGGCTTTCCTACAGAAATATTCAAGTATGGAGCTGAGATCCTGCTGAGGTGACTACATGGACTATTTCTCAATATATGGAGCAATGAAGATTTACTGTAAGACTTCAAAGACTCTACTTTGTCATCATATACAGAAGAAAGCTGAAAAGTCTGACAATGGCAACTATTACTCTCCATCACTGGAAAGATTCTGACTAGAATACTCTTTGATTGTCTGCTATGCAAAATCACTAAATGCGCGTTACTGGAGTTGCAATGTGATTTTAGGCCAACAGAAGGAATGGAAGACAAGATATTTGTAGCCTGCAAGAGAAATGCAGAGAACAACAACGTGACCTTTTACACTGTCTTTATTGAACTGACTAAAGCATCTGACACCATCAATAGACGTGGGTTTGGTGATTATTACATAAGTTTGGTTGTCTAGAAAAATTCACCAACATTCTGAGGCTATTTCATAACGGAATGCTCGTTTAAGTCTGCGTAGATGGTGTTCTGTCTGACCCATTTCATGTCACTAAAGGTTTTAAGCAGGCTGCATAATTGGTCCACTCTTGTTTAATATCTTCTATACAGCAATGCTTGATTATGCTACAAGAGCCCAGAATGCCAGTATCAAAATAGGTTTCCAGTTCTCTGGAACAGGCTGCGATCTTCCACAAAGGTCTTCGGGCAGTTGTTCATGAGCTGCTGTGTGCCAATGACTCTGCTCTAGACCAGATACAATTGAATATGAATGGATTTGCAAAGTCTGTAAAAAGATACGGGCTTATATTCTGAAAAAGACAGAGGCCATGTATCAACCTGCACTAGGGAAACCCTCCATGAAATCAAAAGTCACCATCAGAAACACACAGCTAAATGTTGTTACAGACTTCCGCTATCATGGTAGTATATTGTAGATTTATGTTAGTATAGACAAGGAACTGACAAATCATATCAGCAAAACCAATTCATCATTTGGTTGACTATCAGGAAGAATTTGGTGGCAACATGGTATTAAACTTCAAACCAAGTCTATAAATCAGTTGTGCTGTCCAACTTACCGTATGGGTGTGAAACCTGGACCTGCTACAGGCATTATATTAAGCTTCTAGATAAGTTCCATTTACGACATCTGCATTCCAGACTCTGTATCAAATGGCAGAATAAAGTTAGCAATAATGAAATTCTGGAATGTAGTCACTCCACAGGGATTGAAGCCAGGCTTGTCACAACACAGTTATGCTGGGCTGGTCATGTGCTGAGGATGGATGACACCAGGATGCCAAAGGAGTTGGAAAGCGAGCAATCACAAAGGAGGTGGCCAGAAGAAATGCTTCAAAAGACACACTGAAGCATAACTTGAAACAGCACGACATTGAGACTAACAGCTGTGAGTTATCAGCAACTGGAAGACCACACTGGCGAGCAGTAGTCAATGATGGGGTTACCCAGTTCAAGGTTAACTGTCGTATGGATCTTGAGGCACAGAGACTGAGTTGTAAACAGTGGCAGATTCAACAAGCACAGAATATAATCCCTTCCTCAGCATCAAGCTATGCACTTCATGTGGAAAGGACTGTCACTTGCGCATCGGTCTTTTAAACCACAACTGTACTCATAACCCATAATACAGTCATCAGCATCATCTTCCATCACGAAAGACAACAACATGCCATGTTCTGATGTCTCTCTCTCTCTCTTTCTCAATCTCTTCTCTTAAAGCTGTTCCACTTTGGTTAAATAATCCAAGAGTTACTTGGGCTAGAGAGCGCAACCCAGCAATGACTTTATAGCCTGGTGGTTAGAGCTTTCACCCAGGATGTAGGACACCCATGATACAGTCCTCTTGGTCCAAAGTCACAACAAACAACTCCTTTTATATATCCAGACCTAAATGTCCTGCTCCCAAGGTACAATAGTCTAATAAAGATTTTATGAACAGTTAATGAACATGAAAACCTGTGTGAAATCTTTTGGCTCCAATTAACAGAAAAACAACAACACTGAGCCATTCTTCCACTAGTTTGAATAAAATTATCAGAGAATTTACAACAGAAATGACTATTTGTGCATGTGAGCATGACAGATATCTTTTTTTCCCTAAGGTACAGGAGTAGGTTTGGGGGAGCACGGAAGTAAAAGTAGAATTTGCTTCAAAAGTATACCAGTCCCAAGTATGGAGATTAGTCACTATTTATGGCAGTACTTGTAGAAGGCTAGTAGACTGCAGGCTTTAATTACAAGAAGTTGCACTGGAAGGAGCTAAGAGTTAATCTTTTAAGATTAATACCGCAATACCTTTCTTAAATGTGATTAGTGTGAACAGTTCCAGTTTGATGACTATCACTGTTACATGATGGGAAAGCATTACAAAAAAACTTTTGAAAGATTAATGAGAGCAAGAACCCAATACCATTAATTACTGTCGTTTATTCGTGTCTAATTGGAAAGAAGAATCTCACCCCCACCACAAACTGTACAAAAAGTTCTTATTCACAGCTCCATTGTAAATAGTACTAAGTTAGATAAAAGTTTAAAAATAGGACAGTTCTTTTAGATAGAACATGACTTTGCCCATATTGAGTATGCTAAGCTGCTCAATGCAACAACTGACCTAACCTTTAAATAGAATAAAATACATTTACTTAGAGTAATGACATTAGTATCTAACTATGCAGACTGTTTTTTCTTGTGGTTTGTATTTCTAATCTTAAGTGACCATCTTAACCATTCCAGTTCTTAGCTGATTACAAAGGCAGAGATTTTGTGAAAGGCTGAAAGACCATAAAGTACTTAGCTAGGACCTTCATAAAAGGAATGGAATACTGCCAGTATTTCTGTTAACATGTTTAATCAAAAGAGGCTACGACAGAACTGTTGGCTTTCTACTGCAATAGAGAACGCTAAGAGTACATTACCTTGTCATTACAAAGTTTTCTCTTGGTAAAATAATCTTGGAAGAAAGGGGTCACTAGATCTCACAATATGTACTTCATTACAATACAGCAATTCCTTAGTATCCAAGGACAGCCTTATAGTGAAGTTATGCTGGACACTATTTAAAAAAATTTAATGAACAAGAAACCTGTTGAAAGTCCTCTGTTTCCCACCAAATCACATTAAAAGCTACTCTGCTCTTTCTTTCCTGTAAAACAACAAAGTTGTGTATGAAAGGGCATCATATGAGTGAAATATTAAAATAAATTACAAAATGGTTCTCTTATGGAGAGATTCTCTTATAATTGCGCATATTGAGATATTCTCTTATAAAACTCACAAAGCGGTATAGCATTTTTCTGAAGATAGGTAACAGTAATATATAACAGGAAACACAGTGATAATATACAGACTTTTTTGCATTGAGATGAAAATATTTGAAGGTTGAGTACCTCCCATCCCTGAGTGGATATACAATAGCATAGGTGAGGCACTCTTCTTCTTCGCATTTCACCTACATGTTCAGAATACCCGACAGTCAGTCAACTTCTTATGTATAGTGTGTTCTCCAGGAGATATTGGGACATTCCCAGACAACAGGTCAACTAACTCAGTGGATTATTTTATTTCCAGTACGAGCTCACTTTTGAGCAAGGAGACTCCTCACTTCTTACAACCCTGGAGACTGATGTCTGTCTGCTGTTTATCTACAGAATAGGTACAGCATGAGTAACTGCAGCTTCCCACACTGAACCACCCATTAATATGCCTCAGACGGACCAGAAAAATAGACCAGGGTCTTGGAACAGTGAGTCTGATAACAAGAGAACCACTTAGTGAAATTCGGATGAGGATTTATTATGAGAATAATAGCTACATTCTTTATGATAAAGAGTCTATTTCCTGTATAATAGCTCAAGTTTCTGCTGGCCTTCTAAATAACACGGTAGATAGAAAAGAGGACCAAATTAAAAGTCTTTCCTTTGACCTTTACTATGAATATAGCTTAAAAATTAACCTTAATTCTGTGAGGGAAAAAAAGTCACTGAAGTTCGGACAATGATGAGTCAAATGATTCAGATACTTGAGCCTTTGACTAACTTGAAAATCAACTGATTCATGAAATTAATAAATACAAGGAAAAAATTACACTTCCATGCTTTGATCTTCTTTATTTTATCTAGACAGTAGATCGTGTTGAGCATTCAAGTTTCGGCATATTTCCAGTTATGCTTTGGAATAGTCTCCCAATTCTACCAAGCTCTGTTTTGCAGTAAAAAGTCTCAAATATTAAACACTGAGGAAAATACTTTTAGCACTGCTTCTTCCTAAGTTTACCATTCTCCTTAAAAGAAAGGATTTATCAAGCTGTAAACTCCTGAAAAAGCCAGTAACAAAGATTTTAAAAGATTAAGACATTTGATACGTATGTCATGGGACACTTTCTAGCAATCCTACTCTTCTAGATCACCATACTTGTGTAAAAGAAAGCTTATATAGGTATTCTATAGTTTAAAATTCACAGCTCTTTTCTCAGATGCATACAGCATGGTACATTTTGCATAGTACAGAATATATACTTGCAATATGTATTAATTCTGTGGATGTCTAAACTGCAATAAAATCTGCACTAACATTTTGTGACAAGTCATGTTACTGTGAGCTGTTTGCTGGTATACAAAAGAAGGAACTTTGGACCTGACCCTTTAACTGAGACATTACAGCCTGTTACCTAGAAAAATGAGGTACATATCCTTTAAAAGCAATAATCTGCATCAGCTTTACTGTTATGAAAGGAACTTTTTATAAAATGGTACATAAGTAATTACAAATAAATAATTATACTGTAAAATGCTGCCTAGGACATTAAGAGACTCACCTAACAATGTGTTGTGATTTATCCCACTTTTTGATGGAAACTGCTGACAGAGATATGCTCCTTGCTGAAAGAATCACATAACGGAAGGAAGGAAGAAAGAAGGAAAGAAGGAAAGAAAGAAAGGAAAGAAAGAAAGAAACCCAACAAAAAAATCCTTGAAGTTGTATATGTTGAATTAAAAGCCATATTTGAAGGACATAATGAAAAATATATTGGGTACAGTCCTCAGCTGCACTGAGAAAAAAGGTGGCTGTAGGCTGCCTTTATACCTTCCCTGATTGTGAGTCAGCTGGGTAGCTGAACAAGCCTCCCTACATAAGTCAGAGCAGCCACAGGGCTACTTTAACTTATGCCAATACTCTCCTTAGGAAATTTTTTTCTAGATGAGGATTGGCAGAACACATCATATACCAACGCTTCCGCTTCCCCTCTAGCCCCCAAAAGCTCATCCCCTCTTTGCACACCCATTGCACCAATGGAGGGGAAGGAGTGGAGCAGAGAGCTACTGATGTAAAACCAGCTATGCCAACTTTCCACCAGTCCAAGATTCTATCATGTCAGGAGAATCCTTAGGTGCCCCTGGCAGCTTTAACGTCACTGTGTGCTGCTCCAGTGGTACAAAGTGATCTCATTGGGATCGAGGATCCAGCCCACAGCCTGAGGAGCAAGAGAGACTAACTTATAGGGAAAGTTCTTTGCCCTCTTTTCCACAGAGAAAGTGTTTCCACTATCAACCCTACCTTCAGACTCTCTGCTGCATATCTATAGCTCTATTTAAAATATTTATCATGCCCAATTAAAATAGGTAGCAGTAGTGGTGAATGGGCCAATTTGAAGGATACTCTTCGCTATTACGGATGTCAACTACAAGTAGTTTTGGCTTGCTATTTTTGGTTTTCTTTGTAGGCGTTTTGAAGTGACTAGGTCCCGTCAGCTCACACAAGTCAATCAGATCTTCTGCTGAAATCCGCGGTGACATTTCTGCCTTCAGGTCATTCAACTGGATAGAGTCCCTAGACTTTAAAGAGAGAAAAATAAAATCTTTACAATGATGTAACTATTTATTTGTGGTGTTACTGTAGCTGTTGGTCCCTGGTTGTTAGAGGGACAAAGTGTGTAAGGTTAATATCTTCTATTGGTCCAACTTCTGTTGGTGAAAGAGATGAGCTTTCGAGCTTACAAAGACCTGAAGAAAATCTCTATGCAAGCTTGAAAGCTTTTCTCTTTCATTAACAAAAGTTGCTGCAAAAAAAAGATATAACCTCACCTACCTAGTTTCTCACTTAACTGTTTAGGCATTATCCAGCATTCATTGCAACTTCTGCTTTATATGATTATCCTAAATATAAAAGTGAAGTTTTGCATAGAAACATTCCTTTCTTGTAACTACAGACAAGTTTGAGATAAGCCATATAGCACTGTATCTAGAACTTTTCAAATTATTCCTTGTAGATAGTTTATCTGAAAAACTTAGCTCTATTTTCTGTTTGAAAATTATCCATAAATAGATTTTTTACGAACATGTCATTTACAATTGTTTGAGGAATAGCTTGTGAAAACAAATTTTCACCTCTTCTTGGTTCATGAAGTCTTCACATCTGATGAAGTGAGCTGTAGCTCATGAAAGCTTATGCTCAAATAAATTGGTTAGTCTCTAAGGTGCCACAAGTACTCCTTTTCTTTTTGCGAATACAGACTAACACGGCTGTTACTCTGAATACTGATAAGATGTTCTCCTTCACTCTGGCCACTTTATGCAAGGTAAAGAGGCCCTAAAAGCCTTGGGACTCTCCAGTGGAGGACTTTCCCAGTTCAAAAACTGATGTAGACAGCACAAGTTGTCCTTCAAGGATCCCCTTGAAAGCCCTCATGTAGAGGACATGTCAGCAATGGGATGGATGTGTAGTGAGTGGGGAGGATATTCTGGGCAGCAGGAGGGCCCACAGATCAACTAGGAAACCCACCATAATTTAGACTGTTCCATGGAGCTGTCTAAATTACGCCAGAGGCTACTCCAGTCCCCAGAGGATGCAAAGATGACTTAAAGCTACCTTAACCTCCCCTTATCTGTGAGTTCTGTCCTGCATCTTTGAGGTGCAGCACAGAATCTCTCCCTGTGCCCTTTCACTATTTATTATTCCCTCACTGAACCATACTATTTGTCAAATAAGTCACTTGGTATTGTTTCTGGATGAGCTAAGCTTTATAAAAATTATTTGGGAACACTTAGCTAATTTATTGTGGTGACACAGAAATACTCTATTATTTGCTTAACAGCCTTTCCATTGTGAATGTTCTCACAAATATTCACAAGCACTAGAATCCATGGTGCTTTTGCTTTTTATTATTGTGAAAAAACATGTAATTGAGCCCGCACACACAAAAAAAGAACAAAATAATGCATCCTGAATCCCAGAAAAGTGAATCAGTGCATCTTATTCACAAATATATTGATAATTGATGATGAATACAAAACCACTAAATTATAGCCGAGTTTATGTACAGTGAATTTCAGTGAGAATTACAAAATGCAGAAAGCTGGGCCACAAAGTGTGGTAGAGCTTTCCCAGCCATAATCCCTATTTATAATTGTGAAATTGCTGAATTTTTAAGAAGTTAACTTTAAAACAGCTCCTCACTGTAGAAGAACCACCTCTACCCAATCCAACACATTCCATCAAACCTCCCCCCCCGCCAAAAAAACCACACCATGACACACAGATATACTTTGCAGAATGCTCAAAAGGCCAGGAAACTCAGGCTCTGTAAGAGTGATGCAGGGACGTGAATTCCAGTCATGCAAACTCATGGAGAATGTTCAGTTACGAACACCCTGGTGTTTAAATCTAGGGACTGTTGAAAATCCCAGCTGATCTCATGAGAGATGGTAACATATCCAAGGACTTAAAATAGTAGAATGCATTACACCCACCATGTTATCATCTCTAAACAGGACTGAGCCAAAGTGAGTTAGATCATTTTCACCAGTAACCCCTCTATGCAGAGCAATTTTGCCTCAGCAGCTAATGGAACCCTATGGGGAAGTCTCAATACTTCAGCTTCAAATGTTACCAGCTTTTCAAAGCACCCATACCGAGGCAAACATTAATTTTTTCTACATTTAGAAAATCCAGCACAGGACATGTGGTTCAGAGGCTTCAATGCACCACTGCATTGTGCTTTACTGTAGTCTGCAGAAGTAGCATGTACCTACCACCACTTTGTCCAGCTTGTCTCATTGCCTAGTAATGAGGTGTCTGATCTGCATAATATTTTATCCTAGCAGTAAAGAGTTAATGAAGTCAGTCACCAATGGACAAAGGCTAAATTCAGCTCCATTGTGCCAAAATGTAGCCCTGCTGTATGTGACTCCAGTGGAGCTTTTATTGCTTACACCAGGGCTGAATTTGTCTCTGTGCAACTGTTGTGCTCCTACTGTGTTTGAGGTCAAACACAGGCAAAAGTTGTTTATAACTTCTGAGTGTTCAGCTGTTTCCAGTGAATTATTCTGGCTTGTCTGGAGATGAATCTGTATGGGATAGCTGGGAACTGCTACAGTGAGCATCTTCTCGAAGCTGTTCAGACTACTGTTTTGGTGACTGTTACTGGTGGAATACTTTTTCTGTGTAAATTAAAAGGTAGCTATTTTGTTTAGAAAATCCAAACGTGTGCTTTGCAATTCTTCCATACCCAACAAAGATGCTTGGGCCACTTCTCCCCAGTGCAGGTATTACTCCCTTTTACATTACTGGACATTATAAGCAGATTATACAGTAAATACAGCCCAGATGTAAAATACAAAATAGAAAAATAAAAAATTTAAAAAGTGTTCCTACATTACTGGTGAATTTTACTGGATTGATTTTAAGAGTTAAATATAGAAAGTGCTGTTTAAAAGCAGGATTATTCTAAGAGTATCAGGGGGCTGAATTTTATGCTTAGAGAAAAACAGAACCATAGTTCATAGGATTATTTTTGCCATCTAGTCTCTTGTATATATGTAGGAAATGTTCATACCGATTCAGTACCTAGCTTATCATTTGCTTTGCAATTTTCACTTCTCAATGAGGAAACAGTAGTGTTAGCAATCAGGAGAGCTGTAGCTCACGAAAGCTTATGCTCAAATAAATTGGTTAGTCTCTAAGGTGCCACAAGTACTGCTTTTCTTATTGAGGCACTTGTAATCAGAGTATTAAATAGAGCTGAGGAGAAGATGGTTTTCCTGTCCCATGAATATTTTGAAGATATCAAAACATTTTCCCATCTCAAATTGGGATGAAAAGTCAAAATCTTGACAATTTTTGCAAATCAAAAATTCGAAAAAAAATTTGCTCTGGTTCATTCAAAACAATTTCAAAACATTTCATTTTGGTTTTGATCTTCTTTCTTTTTTTAAGTTTTAAGTCTAAATTCACTAGAACGTCAAAATAAAAAGTAATTTAAACTCAGAAAAATGAAATTTATTCCCCCCCAAAATTTCAAGTCAGATTTGTCAAAACCATCAACTGTTTTGCAAACAGTTTCAGTTCTTATGAATCAACATTTTCCAGCAAAAAAACCCCAGTGCAATGAAAAATTAGTGATCAAGTCTAGTGTTAATTAACTCAAGTAATTACTGCTAGCGCTAGCCCTTGCTTCAGTGGTGCATTGTAAACATGTGCCAGCTTCCATTGATATAGCAGAACGTCAAAGATATGAACACCAGAGTTACAGACAGACCTATCAACTGGACACCATGTGACACCAGAAGTAACCAATCAGGCAGCAGCAGGGACCCCCCCACCCAAAAAAAAAAAAAGAAAGAAAGAAAAAGCAAATACTATACTGTGCCTGTATTGAATCTTAAAGGTAGGCACATCTGGGCTGCATGTCCCTACATGCAGGACAGCCATTTACAGCTAGGATGTGAAGACACTGGGGCTTCCAGCCCAAGGCAGCTGGAGTTGGCAGAGCAGGAGCAGCACTGGGATCTGTGCTGCTTTCACACACACACACACACCCCCCGCCGAAATGGGGATGCGCTGTTTTACCCTCTTCCCCTGGCCAGGAGGGGGACAAGGTTACAAACTCAGTCTGAAAGAAGCTGCCAGTGCTGAGGAGCGAGCAGAGCTGCTGCTGGACCTTGGCCTGGAGTGTCAGCTGCTGGAGCCCAAATTGCACTTTGTTTTGAGTTACAAACATTTTAGAAAAAGAACAGGAGTACTTGTGACACCTTAGAGACTAACAAATTTATTAGAGCATAAGCTTTCGTGAGCTACAGCCCACTTCATCGGATGCATAGAATGGAACATATAGTAAGAAGAAATATATATACAATCAGATAAGTTGGAAGTTGCCATACAAACTGTGAGAGGCTAATTAGTTAAGATGAGCTATTATCAGCAGGAGAAAAAAAACTTTCGCAGTGATAATCAAGATGGCCCATTTAGACAGTTGACAAGAAGGTGTGAAGATACTTAACTTTAGGGAAATAGATTCTATATGTGTAATGACCCAGCCACTCCGAGTCTCTATTCAAACCCAAGTTAATGGTATCTAGTTTGCATATTAATTCAAGCTCAGCAGTTTCTGGTTGGAGTCTGTTTTTGAAGCTTTTCTGTTGCAAAATTGCCACCCTTAAAGCCACGAAAGCTTATGCTCTAATGACTTTGTTAGTCTCTAAGGTGCTAAAAGTACTCCTGTTCTTTTTGCGAATACAGACTAACACGGCTGCTACTCTGAAACATTTTAGAGTTACAGACAACCTCCATTCCCGAGGTGTCTGTAACTCTGAGGTTCTACTGTATTATTGATTTCCCACTCAAATTGTAGTTTATGACCTTCTGTACAGTTTTGCTACTAACTAGGAAAAGAATTACATGAATGTGCTGGAGAAACAGTAAAGGCAAAATTAAGCTACACAACAAAGGAATATAGTGGTGTGGTACAGTATACCTCCAAAAACAGTCCTTAGGCAACCTATGTACAATTACACTTACCTTTGCTATGATCAGGGAATCAAAAGGTATTCATAATTAT